TTTTGCAAGCTTTCGGATAAAACAATAGATAGAAAAAGTATCCATTTAAATGATACATTTAAAAAAAATCAGATCCTCTTATAAACTATGACTTTTTAAAATGCAATTGTTAACCTTGTGATAAACATCTTACTAAATATTTATTGAATGAATACCAATTAAGAATAAACTTTACTTTCTAATAAAAAGCAAACTAAATTCATCTTTTTTTTTTTTTTTTTTGAGATGGAGTTTTGCTCTTGTTACCCAGGCTGGAGTACAATGGTGCGATCTCGGCTCACCGCAACCTCTGCCTCCTGGGTTCAGGCAATTCTCCTGCCTCAGCCTCCTGAGTAGCTGGGATTATAGGCACACGCCACTGTGCCCAGCTAATTTTTTGAATTTTTAGTAGAGATGGGGTTTCACCATGTTAACCAGGATGGTCTCGATCTCTTGACCTCATGATCCACCTGCCTCGGCCTCCCAAAGTGCTGGGATTACAGGCATGAGCCACCGCGCCCGGCATCATCTTTATTTTTAAAATACTACCAAGTAATGTTTCCAGGCTTAAACATTATTTTTTCATAATACGCTAAAATAATACAGAACTATTAGCTAAGTATCTCAGACCAAATTATTAGGTAGAATCATATGAAACTGCTGACACCTTAATTTAACCCCAAAAAATGGCAATTTCATATAATTCAACCTAAAACAATAGTGGGAAATAAAAAGTAGGTAAAGAAAAATCCAACACCAGAGTAACCTAAAACCTCATTAATTTCTTCATGTACCTCATTAAATGAGGCACTATAGAAATGCTTCAATTAGTATATTGAGAAATTATAGCACTTGCCTGAAATTTAGTATCTGATAGATATGCCCATAGACTTTACATATGTCTGAGACAAGTAGGAATTTCACAATAATTAGCATTTTGAAAGCTCACCTCATTATTCCCTGATTTATTACAGATAAAAAATGTTTTTTGCTCCTTTTTAAAACCATAAAATCATCTTGAACCCTAAGCCACACCAGGATGCTAAAAGATGAGAGTTAGTCTGTAGCTGGTAATAAAGACGGTAGTGTGCTGGTAATGGATGTTCCAGTAAATGTTTGCAAACCAGTTTCCAGGGAAAAAACTTACTTGTATATGAATATGTGTGTGTATGTGTATGTGGTGAATTTTACTGATAAAAAGGATATTGTGACAACCAAGTATAAAGGGGTTCCTGAAGAAACTCCGACTGGCCTATGTACTGGGAGGAGTGTACACCGGGGTGGAGCCTTGGGAAGTCTGCGCTATTTGCAGGGAAGAGAAGCCTGGCCCCTCCTCTTCCTGGGTGGTAACTGGCATTCAATCTATGAGGCAGGAAGCCTGTACTACCAGGACTCTTGCTCTCATGAAAGTCCTTGTTTCCCTATTTTTCCTTTTTGCCCAATAAATTCCATTTTTCTCACTCTTCAAATTGTCTGCAAGCCGAATTTTTCATGATCGTGTGCCAAGGACCTCATCTTTGGCTGAACTAAGGAAAAGTCCAACGACAATATGTAGCACACATTATATCAATAATAATAAAATATACAATACTCTATTGTAAATTGCAAATAGTTGATTATCATACAATACTTTAGTTGATCTTGGCCTAACTCTTCCATCAGCAGCTAACATGGTTGCAACTGGCAAATGAGTAAGTAGTATACTTCCAATATCCATCAGATATCCAACAAATACTTGTGACATTTGTTGATTAAAATTATGTATGTTAAACAGTAAGACAAAAGTGAAACAATGAAGGAATATGTCAGACTTCATCCATTTGTCAATGATTGGGTGACTCTTTTCCTAAATCAGATAATAATTTTTGATTACTGAAAAAAATGTTCTTCAATTTATTTCTGTTATTCATTTTGTCAGCGATAGGCACTTTACACTTTTAAATTTAATCTACATTATTAGCATTTTTCCCCATCACTTCTTTAAGCCTAGAGACAAATGACTAAAAAATAAAAATAAAAACCTCAAGCCCTGATTTGTAGCATTTGCTGGTTTCTATGGGGTAAATACCATCATAACAGCCCATTTCAAGCTACCAATATAGTCACTGAATGCAGAGCTGAAAAGAGATGCACAATGGCACACTATTTTATAGCATTTCTACCACCATACAGACACAATAGAAGAAATAACCAGCCGGGAGCGGTGGCTCATGCCTGCAATCCTAGCACTTTGGGAGGCCAAGGCGGGCAGATCACTAGGTCAGGAGATCGAGGCTATCCTAGCCAACATGTGAAACCCTGTCTCTACCAAAAATACTAAAAATTAGCTGGGTGTGGTGGCACGTGCCTATAATCCCAGCTACTTAGGAGGCTGAGGCAGGAGAATTGCTTGAACCAGGGAGTCGAGGTTACAGTGAGCCAAGATCTTGCCACTGCACTCCAGCCTGGTGACAGAGCAAGACTCCATCTCAAAAAATAATAATAATGGTAAAAACCTTAAGAGCACAGACTACAGTAAAACGCGGTGAACAGGCAGAAAGCAATAAATTTTCAGTATTCATTATCTTTGCTTTAATATAATTAATTGTAAGTTTATATAATTTAATTTTTAATAGTAAAAATTAAACAACCAGCTTTCAAATCCCTGATAACTATATTTAACAACCAGCTCGCAAATCCCTGATAACAACTGGCTCTCCTTAATAGATTAGACCTGGCTCCAGTACACCATCGGGAAATAAAAAAATTCACAACTCTGAAGTTATCTATAAATTTCAGTTATTTATTACATTGTTGCTAGCTATAATTAAAGCTGGCAGTATCACTGAATCTATTTTGTAGCCTATGTAGAAGACAAAGGTATACAAATTTATCTAGGTTTCACATGGAGATATTAGAATCTAGCTCCAAATATAACAGATTTAAAGATTCAAGCAAAAATTTGCCATTTGATAATTTATAAGAATGTACCTTGAAGGCATACAAAATTCATTGCTAAAGGATCTCTCAAAGCCAAATCTTGCCTCTGGATATTTAAAAGAAGTTAGGTAGCATTAAGGCCAATAACAACATGTTTTAAAAGGTCTAATCACATTCCACGCCTCAGAGTGTAAGCTGATCAGCTGAAGAGCTGGAAAAGAACTGCCTGCCCTTCCTATTTGCTTTCTGCCCAGCATAGATAACATTTCACAAGTGAAAAGGTAGATGACAAAGGCATTTCAACTTTTCTCTGAAGTACAGAGATCTACAGATAGGATGAAAGATTGAATGGTGAGTGATATCAGCTCCTTAATTGTATTCCTCATCCAAATACTTTCTCCTAAAGCACAAGATTCAGGCCGCCAAGATCCATCTGTTCCTAATTTCGACTCCGCCTGCAGTTTCACGGAAATGAAGTTCACCATACTGGTAGAAAGCCTCCTGCATGCCATATTCATTCCTCTTCTTTTTGAAAACACATTGATATTTGAAAACAATGCACTCATTCACTTCTCTATACTTCCCCCAACCCCATGCTAAGCTAATTCAATCATCAAATATTGGGATTTTATTTTACATGAGAAAGTAAAATGAAAATTTATTTCTTATTAAGAAAAGAGTAACTTCAATTTTAATTGCCATAATTTCAAAAAATAAATTGTGAAATAAAATATTTGTGACATCAGATATAATAAACTACTCATCCTATAACTTTCTAACCATTAAGTCACCTCTCTCCCCCAAACCATAATTAAAACAAAAACAAAAAAAAAGCCAGGGGAGACACAAAAACCAAAATATTTCCCATCTGCAGAAATACTGTAAGTAACAGTAGAACCATCAAACTGCAGTGGAAATACTGCAGATTCCATTCTCTTTTGTAAATTTTTTTTATAAGAAGCATTTTATTTTAATTATTTCCCCATAACCAGTTGGGTCTAAAAACATAAAGCATAGAAAATCTGCTAGTAGCTTTCTTCCAGCCAACTGTTACCTTTATACTAAGAAGAGAAAACCCATTTCCAGAAATGGCATAGCTGAGTTGCAGTTCAGTTGATACAATTAGCTTATTCCATCTTTTTCCATGAAAATCAGTTTTACGTTATTCTGAAGATGCAGCTGAAGGCAATGAATTAGAATCTTCCTTATCTACTCATCTCTCTCTCTTTTTTTTTTGAGACAAAGTCTCGCTCTGTCACCCAGGCTGGAATACAGTGGCATAATCTCAGTTCACTGTAACCTCCATCTCCCAGGTTCAAGCGATTCTCCTGCCTCAGCCTCTCAAGTGGCTGGGACTACAGGTATGTGCCACCACACCTAGCTAATTTTTTGTATTTTTTTAGTAGAGATGAGAGTTCAATATTTTCATTAGCCAGGATGGTCTCAATCTCCTGACCTCATGCTCCACCTGCCTCAGCCTCCAAAAGTGCTGGGATTTTCAGGCATGAGCCACCATCACCATGCCTGGCCTCATCTCTCTTAATACTAAAAAAAAAGACTGGGGGTGGGATGGGAAGATAGACCTAACCCTATCAGCCCAATGCTTAGTAATTCTTTCCACCATACCTTCATTTTCCATACCTCACAGAAACCAACTTCTCCCTTCTCAGATTGCTCCCAGTCATGAAATTTATTTGAAACAAAGGCAGTGATAGACATTCTGAAGGAAACTCTAGTAAATCAATAAACTACAGTTAGGATACAGTGTCTTCCTTATCATTAAATAATGGGGTTAATATTCCATCTCAAATAATTATTCTTGGATCTATCATTATCACATATCAAAAAGGCGGATTGGCTTTATTAGAGGTAAAAAATAATATTGAGTCTAACTTTAATGAAGTAATCATTTATATAAGCTGAACACCATTTTACATACTAAGCAAACAGTGATAGGCGATTTCAAGGTATTTATCATTCTTACTATTCTCCTAACTCTGGCAAACCCCATGTTGAAGACATATTCACAGAGGTACTCAATAATCTAAGAATTTGCTGACTCATATAATATTCCATTGTTTAATCATAGAGTTACTACAGAACCACCTCTGGAGTAAGCAAGGCACATGGCAGTAGCAGCCTACAACAACTGCAGAAATCTTTCCAGCAGGACTGCAAACCTGCCCAACTGAATTGAAAATGTCATTATGAAATGACTATGGCATATGAACTCAAGAAAAGAAGAAATATGGAGAAGGGTTAAAACAAAGATGACAGGAGACAGTGTAAAGGTGAGTGAGACAAGAGAAAGCAGCAGCCACTGGCCTCTCTGCATTACCATTATCAGGGTTGGTAAACATCCTACTTGCACTGGAGACTGTCTTCCCAATGTCAGCCAGGGACCGAAGGTTGGATTTCTTGGTTTGATGCCGGTGCTTCCGGAGCAAAGTATAGGTCACCTTATCCTTAAGTTCAGGTTTCAACAGGCCTGTCTCAATCTGATGGTCAACAATCATTTCTAACACAAAAGCAAAGCAAAACAAAAGCAAAAATCAAAACTCAGTCACAAAACCACAAAGTTATCTTTTTACTCCAACTTTATGGATGTCACCCTCAAATTCAATATCAATATATTATTTTCCAAATTTCCCACTTAATGTAAAAGATAATGTGTACACGGATACTGGCATTAATGAGAGTTACAAATATTAGAGTATTCATTTTATGTTTTTTCAATCCCAGTTGTGGCATATTCACATGTTAGATTCTTCTGTAACACAGTAAGTCAGTAATTTATATTTTTCAATTTAAAAAAGTAAGATTCAAAAAGTTCATGTACTTATAGCAAATGTACATCAGAAATGTAAATGATATACAAAAATTTAAAGGGTATAGAAAATTTGATGAGATTGTTGATTTTTAAAATCTATTTTCCCAAATTCTTCTGTAATGTTATATATACTTAAGAATAGAATACAGTAAAGGAAAACAATACCCAATATCAGGTCATCTGAATTAATCCCATGAAAGAAATATTAAATTACAAAATTATGCTGCAGTCTTTTCTAAGAAAAGAGGCTGATTCTCCTCCTTCAGATCCAACTAAAGACTTTCCAATGTATTTCCATTGGACATTTTAAAGTATAAGGTGACTAGAATTTTTTATGAAATTGTAATACCTTAGTCTTACTAACAAAAAAATTTAAGTTTCTATTACTCTTTTTTAGTGTGATTTTAGCCAGAAAGATGATACTGTTTCATAGAAATTACTCATAGTTCATTCTGCTGGAAGGGAAGTTCTTATTCCAATAGAAAATAAAAGACCCTCTTTCTCACAAGTCAACATGTAAGCAATATGGCATAAATGAAGCCTGGTGCATTCTACTCTACATCTACATGACAGGCCAACATTTATCTCTAGCCAGGATGAGGCTGAGGACAAAACATTACAGAATCCATGAAGATATGCATTAGTAGGAGTCTATCTCAATGTATGCAAGTAGAACTTTAGTCCTCTGCACAGAACCAGAGTAATGGATCCCATGCCTCCCTTTCCGGTATATGGATGCATCTAGCACATACATTTATATTTTCCTCTTAGGCAAACTTTAGTATATAAACGTAGAGAAATGAACAATAGCTATTCTTTTCCAAAAGGCTGTCAAGAAAATCAATGAGTACTGGTAGGATAACAGTATCTCCCAAGGATTCTCGCTTCTTTGTAAAGAGAAGTTATAGATGTTCAAGGGGTTTTGCTTGGGCATGACTGAACTTCTCAAAAGTCCATCTTCTAAGCACTCATAGAATTGGCCTCACAGCCTATAGCTAGAAACTGGCAATTTACACAGTGTACAGTCAACTATTTGGAAGCCAAGCAGAAGCTGAATCCAGGATTTTTCATCACATGCCTCACAGAGATGCCATAAATGTTATATAACATGGGACCACTTGATAGGGAGGCTGGGCAAGGCAGGAAAAGTTTCTCCCATAGGAGAAACTTTTGGTTTGAGAGTAGCTTTTAGCTCTGAGTATTTTTAACTATACAAACCCCACTCAGTAAAACTATCAGAATTGATCCTATAATTACATTAAACTTCTGTTCTACAGTAAATAATTAGGTGCCTACAAAACACAACCTCTCTACTTTCCCTTTAAGTCCTTTTAAAGTGGAAAGTCCATTTTACAGAAGAACCAGAAAAACAAACAGACCCACCATATCTGCTATGAGTGCTATCAAACTCCTACTTTAATTTCAGGGTTGTAGATTAAACTGTTTCTTATCTACTCTTCCTGGCAGAGCCTCCCTCTATTCCTGCCCTCCCTTGAAATCTCGAACCAATCTTTATGTATGCACAGCCAGTCCTCTGTTACCAATGCCTGGAAATCATCAGTTAGAACAGGTTAAAACATCTATGTGGCTCTATGCCCTTCATTAAGTTTCCATTAAAATGGCCAACATTATAGGGATCTCTTTAAGCATAAACTACAAAATCATTCCAAGGAAAGAGGGGGCAGTAACATTTCACAGCTACACTGAAATTAAGCCTTCAATGTTCAAAATCCCACAGACACTACCAATTGGGAGAGAATGTACCAACTCTAGATGATAGCAGAACTGAAAGGAACCTCCTAGAGCATCAAGTTCAATCTCCTGTTATGCAAATGAGAACACAGGGCCACAGGGTGACTTGCCCGCAGACATAGACTGATTAAAGGCAAAACTCCTATATAAAATCAGGTTTTCTGACTCAAAGTTTAGATCTTTCTCCATGTCATACAGTACTTTTCTTTATTTAAAAACTAAGCTCCAGAGAAAAGAAAATTGATATGTGCAGAGCTTTTGCAGACCAAAAGAATGATGGCTATGTAACAGAAGAATGGACAAAAATCACAAACATTCTTAAAAGAAACACAAAGAGCCAAAAGTAGATAAATACATATTCAACTTCAAGATTAACTAAGATAATTTAAATAAATGTACAAATATGACCAATTATGAGAATTTTTTTAATTTGTCAAAGAAATAAAAATTAAAAATTTGAATCAACCACCATGATGTGAAATGTATTCAATGGGCAATTCCATTTCTGATGACAATGGTGCAGTATTGACTAGGAAGTACAAAAGCTTTGTAATATGTTTACACCTTTTGAATAGTCTACCGTTAGAAATATATCCTAAAGAAATCATTTCACAACAATATAATAAAGATGTCCACTTCTTTTCTTATAATTAAAACCTAAAGGCAATCTAAATGCCCAAGAATAGTTTATTAAATATTTTACAGCTACTATAGTAATGGTCATATTTCTATTTAATAACATAAAAAAGTTCTTACGTTTTTAAAAAAACATACTAAAATGATGAAGTATGGTTCCATTTTGTAAAATCAATTATATATGTGTAAACAGAGATTTACAGAAAAAAATGCTGAGAGGACAGCTCTGAGAGATTATATTCGTGAGTTTTTTAAATTTTACACGTTACAGTTTTCCAGATTATTTAAAAATGAACATGCATTAGTTTTGTGACTACCAAAAAAGTTAATGCCATTTTAAAAATATAAAAGGTATAAAAACTAAGAAACAATAGGACCAACCTATCTGCCAACATGCACAGCTCGGGAATGCCTTTAAATATAAAAATGAGACTCCAAAAATAGAGCTACATTTTCTTAATCCATTTCCCATCATGATAAAATACCTGAAATGGCTTATAATTTTTTTAACTTAAGAGGGGAGGAAAATTCCCATAGACTCAGCTTCACACGTGAATGACACTCTTTAAATGTAGAATTACAATGAGGATACTAATAATAAAGCTATTAAATAATCTGCAAAAATGATGTGTTATCCTTTATAATACTTCAAAGATAAATTTTTCTATTAAGATTCAGAAGAGGTTCTTCAAGAAAAAATCAAGTAGAGGTCCTGAGACAAATCAAAAATAGGCTGAATTTTTTGTGTAAGTGTGAGAAGTAACACCTGCTTACACAGTCGCCCACCGTGGTGCAGGGCCCTCACGTGGCATGGTGCTGTCTTTGAGCCTGCAGAGTGAGATGCCTCTCAGAGGCAGGCTAGTGAGGGGAAGCAGGTGGACTGCAACAGAAAATGAAAAGCAGCTATTGTTTGTTTGATATAATCACGCTTGCTATTATTTCTTTTTCTCATTTGTTGATATAAAATTGGGGTGTGGGGGGAGATGCATCTTAAGAATTAGCTGTGCATAATTCTCAACTCAGAAGTATCAGCATGATTTTGGACAAAACAACTCCACCTCACCCTCTACTACAAAAGGATTTTTTAAATAACCAAATAATGACTATAACTTCTCAAGTTACTGTGCCATCTTCTGTCATTTAGATGAAAAAGGGCTCTGTTGCCTTCATGTTTTACCCTGTGTTAGGTTTTGATTCTTTCAGAGGATTAAGAATTTTTTAGCTAGTGACACTCTTTCAAACATGCTCTTCTCCCTACTTCTGAAAATCTGGCCCTTTTCCTCCCCTTTATTTTACTTGTGATGTGTTATTTGTCCCTGAACCATTTTTTCATATTATCAGCTCCAGAATGACAGCACTGGCTCTCTGCCTGCTTGCCCCAGGGGCTGAAGAGCAAACATATTAGTGAGTGATGATACCTCAAAGTGACCTAGTAGTGTCTAATTTTAACATGTTATGACAATTTTTAAAGTAAATACATGAAGGTTAGAGAAAAAGTTCATTACTGATAATAAAAAATAATGAAAAACTGAAAGGAGACCATAAAATGCTTGATTAACCTCTCTTACTAAATACCAAAACATTCTCTCTTTGGCCATTGGCTAAAAACGTTCCAGTATAATGTGGTACTTTCTCTTCTACAACATGAAAAGAGTCAGTTAGGTGCTGAAGAACAGAAACTCCTTAAAATGGCTCTTCCTGGTGATGAAGGTCCCAAAGACAGTTTTACAGACACATCGAAGTGTGTAATTCAACTTTTAACTTTCATCACCCTTGCAGATCAGCTCCAAGTACAGCAGAGATGCTGTTCCACTGTTTCCAGCTCTACCTACCACACCGTTTGGAATCTTGTTTCCTGTTCATGAAGTCACTGAGTGTCTCTCTATCTGACTCAATCCATCTACAGTCTGCTAGGTGACAAGCAGAAAGATCTGGATAAACTATTTATACTGGGATAGACATGTAAGTAGACAGCAAATACGTCTGATGATCTTATTTAATTATCTTATTTAATTTCATAACAACCCTGAAAGGTTCACCTTTATCTTCCTTTTAGAGATGAGGGAATGAAGACTCCAAAAGATTTAAGTAACTGGCCTTGCCCATGATCATACATGCTAGTAGGGTTAGACTTTAATTAAAAGCCCCCAACATTAACTCTAGCATTCCTTCTTCTACATCACTCTGCATCTCATGGGAATTAACAAATGGCATCTTCCCATATAGTATGTATATTTTAACAGAGGACAGACGCTGAGCACTGTGGCATGAATCCCTACGTGGGGAAACTTTAGGCAGTAATGATCATCTGTGGTAAAAACTGTTTTGTTTTTTTTTAATGGGAATCTGCTTGGTGACCCTTATTCTCCTCCTAGACTGCCTATACACTACCAAGACATGAGTTTCTTCTCCAGTTTGCCCTATATTTATGCCATTTGACTTATTTTCAACGTGTAATTTTTGACATCTTTGCTCCAGGTTAGTTCTTAAAGTCTGAGAATTACAATTTTCACTCAAAATCTGGATTGATTTTTGCTGATCATTATACTTTTCTGGATAATAATCTCTCTTGCAGCTTTTAATAAATGAAAAAAGACAATGGAAGAGATGGCCCAGGAAATCATTCTTTCTCTTTGCTTCTGTCTCTGTAGATGTAATCCACTCTCCCTGGGTACCATAATCCAAGATCTCTCCTCATATATCAGATTTCCATTTTCAGCCTCACCTGCCTTGTTCAATATGAAAAACACCATGTAAAACTGTGTTTCCTCCATTATCTTCTAACTACGTATGCAGATTTGTACCTATGTTGACTTATACCTTGTCTCATTTACCTGGTGGTAGATTTGCAAACCCTAATTTCACCAAAGCCTGAGAAACAGTGTTTGGCACATTATAGAAGCTCATGTACTACTACAGAATAAATGTATTAAATAATTATTTCTGTCCATCCAGCATCTTCACATAAGTCCTCTACCTTCCACACTTGTACCTTACGTACTTCAGATGCATGAAAAGCATGGGTCTTCTTTGCAAATCTAACTAACAAGCTCTCTGAAAAAGAACCAAGTATATATACATCAGCCAGATATATGCCTCATTTGACAGCTAATCTTTTCTTCCAACACAAATGCTGCAGCATTCGTATTACCTATAATATAAAGAACAGATGTCATAGACAAGCCTTTTGTCTACAGATATGCAAAGAAACTTTGCAGTAAGTCTGGAACATATAAGAATGTTACACGGATCACCTTCTTCAGGTCTTTGATCCACATCTTCTTTCCCACAATGCCAGGGTAGGCACACTGCAGACCACTTAGAAAAATCCAGTCACATCCCTACAGATCCAGGGCTCACCTGGTTATGGAATTTTCCTAGGAATAAGGAGTGGAGGCCCTGTACTTCTTTAAAAAAATTTAAAAATGCGATCTTTGGCACACCTAGATCTGCAAGGTAATATGGCAGTTTTAGGGCCAAGCCACTGATAAAAAATGAAAACAGTGGCTCCAGTTTGGAATGCAGTGATGTGTACTCAAGGTGTTCAGCATGATGAGTTAACATTCAATGCACAAAATACTAACAACAAAGGATGCCAAAGCTACCCTGCACCATGAGTTTCAATGACTTTGATGGTGGTGATACAAATGGCACTTGCCACCAGTGTGACCTTATGCAGTCACCTGTAACGTCCTGCTGGATCCCTGCCCCACCCAGCCTTTAGTCACATGCAGCTAAAGGGGCTTGACTTCTGCCTACAATCAACCCTAACCCAGGAGCTAGATTAGTTCCATTCTTACAGATGATTTAAGTCCTGTTTTACAGATGATGAAATTGAGGTCCAGAGAAGTTAAGTGCAAGTCTAAGATCTCTAAGATCAAAAAGTTCTAGAAATCTAGTGCCTGGACTTCCAGTCCAATATAACCAAGGATGGGTGAATAAAGAGACTCTATTTATAATATTAATCTTATGCTAATAAGTGAAGGAAGTGAATGTAAAACTGTGCATATAAAATGAAAAATAACTAAAAATGAGAAGCATGGCAGGGCATGGTTCCTCACACCTGTAATCCTGGTACTTTGGGAGGCCAAGGTGGGAGGATCATTTGAGGTCAGGAGTTCGAGACCAGCCTGGCCAACATGGTTAAACCCCCCCTGCCTCAATTAAAAATACAAAAATTAGCCAGGCATGGTGGCAGGCACCTGTAATCTCAGCTACTCGGGAGGCTGAGGCAGGAGAATCGCTTGAACCCAGGAGGTGGAGCTTGTGGTGAACCGAGATCACACCACTGCACTCCAGTCTGGGCAACCGAGTGACACTCTGTCTCAAAAAAAAGAACAGCATAAAGGAAAGGATTCAGAAGCAAAGCTAGAAGGAAATATTCCAAAATGCCAACAATGACCAGAGGAAGATGTTATGGAAGATAGTTTACTATTTTCTTAATATTTGTGTATTTTTCAAATTTTCTTGCAATAAAACATACTACTATTATAATACAAAAAGAGAGAATAAATATTATAAAATATTGAACTCTGCTTACACTACTAGTCATCTGCCTTGGTGAACTGTGGATAGGTAAAGCCAACAAAAATAATAAAAGGTTCAGATAGCATACTTACCCACCAGCTGTGGGAGAGAAGAAGCCTCCCGGTCAAGCATGATGGATCCTTTCTCCATACACGTCCTCAGCTCAAATAAACTATGAAGGGACAATGTGGCCACATGGGGCTTGCTCCATCTTTCCCCACCCTGTTCCACTTTTTCTTCAAACTTGATCCATCTAGGAAAATGAGATTAGTAAAGAGCAATTAAAAGTGTTCTAATGTCCTCTAGAAATAGCAGTCTCAACCCCTCCATCACCACCCCTTCCAGCATTTCCAAAATGTCTCTTTTTGTGGAGTATTAATAGCTTATTATATCATTAATTACATACTCTTCATAAACACACTCAGAGAAGCACTAGACTGCTCCCCTGAAGTTACAGAGGATAAAAGCAAATCAAGAGAAGCCGAAGCATCCTTGGTTTTATATCTGCCTGTATGTAACCATGAGATCCTTAAGAACAATTATTTAACTAAATTTTTAATAAGGTAGAAAAATATGCATTTCAAAATTCTACATGTGGGTACAGCCTACAGTGTATAAAAATAACCACCACTGTGAAGATTCGGTTGTGACTTCACGAGGCAAGTTTAAATAAGGTGAAATATCAGTGATGAACCAATATTTATCTCAGACATAAAAAGCATGATGTGTGAAGTGGCAAGATGAACGTAAAATTTCATTTTATTGATGCTTATGGAAGACCAGCATGTTTTGTTGTGTCTTCCTTTAATATACATATCTCAGCAGATGCATGTTCCCCCCTTTCATTAAGATTTTAAAAACTTTACCCTTCATATCTGGTTCCATATGTGTCTAAATATACACAAGTTCAGTGAACAACAGATTATTCTGATGATAGGAGATTTCCCATTAACCTTAGGGATTAACAACCCTCTTTTCTAGCTTCTGCTTTCTAAGACTCCTAGACATTTGATAACTCAGCAATATATAGCAATAAAAAACCCTTAATGGAAATGAGAGCAAAATACATTTGACAGACTTTATATCCCACATATTACACAAACAGACACTTCCTACACTGCTAAAGGAAAATGGGAAAGGATCATCATTTTGCTGTTCATCATGACACAAACAAAAAGACTTCTTTCTTTCACTTTAAACCTTCTGAGAGATATTGAAAGAGATAAAGAAGGAATTAAAATTGTTTTCTACATTCTTCACCCAAAGGTTTAATGATTGAAAAGTGTTTTCCTAGAGAAAGCTAAACGCTCACCTAACTCACTAAAGATGAGAACAAAGGGCAGAGATCAGAGGAAGCTCTACATAGGGTATTATTTATAGACCTCTTACCACCCCCAGAAGAGGGGGAAAAAAAACACATTAGTAGAACCAGGAGTGAAAATAGATCAAGAGATCAGCCCACAATGTCAAAGAAAATTTAGAATTTTAATCAAACCCAACACCCATATGTTTCAGAAGTATTTTAGCCATATCTGAAGACTCTCCCCCCATGCTCCTCTCAGGAAGCCTCTCACAGCCAGGCAACTCCAATGTCAATGGTAACCTTATCTCAACCTTACCGACAATTCTAAGACCCTCCACCTTTTCCTTGTATCCTCCCCAAAAATGCAGGAAGTGGAGATTTTTATGTGGTTACCTCATGAATTAAGAAGTCCACAAAACCACCAAAGAAGTTCTAAAACTTCAGAACTGGACTTGGTTTATTTCTACAAAAGTAGTTGTGACACATTCCAAAACAGAATGAAAGACATTGTGTGTGTGTGTGTGATTAAACTATTATTTCTTCACTCTGGTTCAAGTTAGACCCAGAGAAATAAAAGGAACTGGGAGAAAAATGACATAATTTTATATTACACTCAAAGAATTCTATGGGTTTAACCAAAACTATAAAAGGTAATAAGGTGATTGAAGTTATTTTGAGAATAATCCATTTCTGATGGAGAATATCACACTGGTTAACTTCAGGTACATCATCTTTTCATGCTTGCTCATAGAATTTCTAAGCATGTTTGTTGGTAATTGGCATATGAATAATATTTACATATGATGCTAAAATTTATTGCTCAAGATAAGACTCTAGAAAAAGGAAGATATCATCACATATGAAATCAAGTCAGAGTTACCTAGAATTATGTCATCTATAATTCTTGATTACTCTTGAATTCCTAAGAGTATGCTTATTTTCTCAGGGATAGAATGTTTGGTTGTAGAATTTAAGCCCAAAATGAATAACATGGAGCAGCCAGAAGTCCTGTAAAGGGAAATGTTTTACAAGGCCTTTACTTCCCTCTTTTCTTTCCTAAATGAGCCCAACTTTTATCAGTTGCCAAGAGCCTGTACTGCCAGATCTATTCCTTTAAAAAAAACTAAGTGTC